CGTGAGGGATCCGGACAGGGTCGCCGCGGGGCCTGGGCCAGTCTCAGAAGCCTCCGTCGGGCAGCTGGGCTGGGGGGACGCCGCGGGCCAGGACGCCAGCCTGCTCTCTCCTCCGCGGGGAGCGGATCCGTCACGTGGGGGCGAGCCAACACAGCCCCTCTCTGCAGCTTGCCCGCCCCCCTCGCTCACCCCCGCTCTCCCCTCGTGTGCCCCAGGAGGCTGCGGAGGAGGTGACGAGGCGCGTCCACTCGCTGTCGGGGAAGAAGGACGGGCTGGTGCCCATGTTCATCAACACCCACAGTGGCCTCTTCACGCACATGGGCGTGTTCACGTTGGGCGCCAGGGCCGACAGCTACTACGAGTACCTTCTGAAGCAGTGGATCCAGGGCGGAAAGAAGGAGACCCAGTGAGGCCGGTTTCTGCTGCGTCGGGGCGGGGGGTCCCCGCGGCTCCCCTGGTGCTGGGGTCTCGGTCAGGCGGCCGCAGCTGTGCGGGGCCCGCACTCGGCCCCTCCGCGGGGGATGCGTTTCTTCCAAGCACAGCCCATGTGCCGAGGAGCAGGGGACCTGGCTGGTCGCCGAGCCCCATGGCCCTTCCGCGCCAGGCAGGGCCCGGGGTCTGGGCCTGGCCGAGGGGCCCCCAGCTCACCAGCTGAGCGGTGTCCCCCTGGGGTTGTGGAGGCCACCGTGTGCACGCGCTCCCCGGCAGAAGGCGGCCAGGAACGCCTGGGCCTCCCGCGCTTACTGTCGGACGCCTAGAATACGAGCTTTCCCGGAGGGCGGCGCGATTCGTAGCTGCGTCCCACGGTGTGGAAGACAGAGCTCACCCTTGTGAGGGAACCGGAAATCCCCGAAGTCTCGAGCCTAGGGGTTCCCGCCACCCAGAACCCCCGGGGGCAGCTCCGGGCCGACCCCTGCGGGCAGGGACAAGGGCGTCACGCCTGGGGAGCCTGTGGGGACGTCGGGGTCCTGGGGCTCTGCAGAGGCTGGGCTTGGGTGGCCCCTCGGGGCCGGTTGAGAGGAGCGACCCTCCTCGGGAGCAGAAGGCACAGCCCTATGCCCCACGCTGCTGACGGCTGCGAGCCTCCCCCTCCGGGCTGGCCCGGCGCCACCCCAGACGGGGCCAGGCCTCTCGGCCACTAGCGTGTACGTGGCAGCTCACGGCCGTGCGGCCCCTCCTGGGTGACGGGGGCGGGGGGGACCGTGCGCCCGCCTGGCCGGAGCTGACGGGGCCTGCCGCTCTGCCCAGGTTAGTGGAAGACTACCTCGAAGCCATCGAGGGAATCAAGAGGCACCTGCTGCGCAGGTCTGAGCCCAGGAAGCTCACCTTTGTGGGGGAGCTCGCCCATGGCCGCTTCAGCGCCAAGATGGTGAGCGTGTGCACGAGCCAGGTGGGGTGTCGGCGGGGGGCTTCAGCACCCTCCCGCGTGTCCTGAACCGCGACGGATTTGGGAGTCAGGACGTTGCAGAGAGCGATGAAATTCTGGCCGTGGTGCGTGCGGCTGGGCTGCGTGGCCTGGGCTGTCCCCACGACGGCAGGGGGAGCTGAGGGGGAGACCCAGCTGGGTCTGCGATGGGCCCCTGGCCGCTCCCCCAGGGTCCCGGCTCCCTGCCTCCCAGGGACCCTCCCTCTCTCCTCTGCCCTGGTCTCCTGCCACCGGGACCGCGGTGCCCCATCGGTGTTGTGGGGTCGGGTGGAGGGTCGGGGGCGGGAGGCCCCGGTCAGCATCTGCTCTCCCGGCAGGGGCAGGGGGTGTCCTGCCACCAGCTTCTCCCCTGCTCCCGTTGAGCCCCAAGTGCTGGGCCTGTAGTTGAGTCACTTGCCCGAGTGGACCTGAGGCGTCCCCGCTCGGGCTCGTAGACTCCTGGGGACGTGGGAGGCCCGAGACAGCGCTGGACCCGGTGCTGCCGCCCCCCGCCCCGTGCGGCCGCAGACTCAGCGGTGGTGAGGACACGCTCTGATTTCAGGACCACCTGGTGTGCTTCCTGCCAGGGACGCTGGCTCTGGGCGCCCACCACGGCCTGCCCGCTGACCACATGGAGCTGGCCCGGGCGCTCATGGACACCTGCTACCAGATGAACCGTCAGATGGAGACGGGGCTGAGCCCCGAAATTGTGCACTTCAACCTGTACCCTCAGAGCGACCAGAAGGATGTGCAGGTCAAGGTGAGCCGGGGCCGGGCTCTGGTGTTGGGGGGCGCCGGGGGCCTCGCCTGAGCTCAGCCTGCGTTCCCCCGTCCCAGCCGGCCGACAGGCACAATCTGCTGCGGCCCGAGACGGTGGAGAGCTTGTTCTACCTGTACCGCCTCACGGGGGACCCCAAGTACCAGGACTGGGGCTGGCAGATCCTGCAGAGCTTCAACACGTACGCACGGGTGAGCCGCCTGCCCGCCGCCGCCTGGTCGGCGTCCCGGCTCCTCACTGGCCACCTCGCCCCGGGCCGCGGGGATGGGGGGTGGGGGCGCAGGCTTGCCGTGGCCTCGGGAGTTCAGGGCACGTGGGGGCCGGGGTGTCCCTTGGTCGCGCCTCGAAGGACCAGGCTCTGTGGGGAGAGCCCCTGCCGTGGCCCCCTGTGCACGGGGCGCGTCCTTCCCGGATCCTCCGTGTGGCCGGGGCAGCCCTTCTCCGCCCCGGGGTGACCTCGGGGCCACCGCTCCCCAGACGGCGCCATGACCTGGCACTGCCCCCACTGTGCTCGGGGCCCTGCCACCCGTCCTGCCGCCGGGGCCGGGGCCGTGGCTCTGAGGAGGTCGCGCCCTGTCCAGGGCCCGCCACCCACCCTGGCAGAGCCAGAACCTGACCTCTGCCCTGTGGTGTGTGAGGCGGTGGGGCCTGGACTCCTCAGGTGATCTCGGGGCCTTCGGGAGGCGGCCCCTGGGTTTCGGAGGCGGCGCTTTCCATCAGGGCAGCGGAGGGGGGCTGGCACCTCTGAGGGGGTGTCTTGAGGAACTGTGGCTGACCTCCAGGGGGGCCAGTCCCCTGGTACACCTTGGGGGGGTGACCCCAAGGCCCTGCCCTGGGCCGCACGCGCGTGCCCCGGTGAGACAGGGAGACTTGGGGAGGGGGCCGTCTGGCTGCCGGGCCCGCACCCCGAGGGCCGAGCCCGGTGTGGGGAGCCAGCTGTGTCTGCAGCCGTGACCCCGCCGCGGTCTCGGCTTCGTGCAGGTCCCCTCGGGCGGCTACTCGTCCATCAGCAACGTCCAGGATCCCCTCAATCCCCAGCCCAGGGACAAGATGGAGAGCTTCTTTCTGGGGGAGACGCTCAAGTACCTGTATCTGCTCTTCTCCGACGACCCAGACCTGCTCAGCCTGGACGCCTACGTGTTCAACACCGAGGCTCACCCCTTGCCCATCTGGGTCCCGCCCAGGGGGGCCTGACGCCCCTGTGGGCAGTGCCTCAGACGTGACCCATCCTTGCTGTGATTCATGGTTTCCCGTCCACTGGAGGAGGCTTCTTCCTTCTTCCTGTGAATCTTGAATCATGTTTACATTCCGAATACCCGACCAGCTTCGTCAGCCGGTGCCCGGGCTTCGTGGTGGTCCCTCGTGCCTGGTCGTCTGCCGGGGCTGCGCTGGGTCCCCCACATAGCGTTCAGAGACGAGAGCTGAAGGGACAGCCCGACATGCGGCTCAGCCTGGGATCAGAGCCTGCGACGTGCCCTGACCCGAGGGTCTGGGGGGGCGCCTGTGACCCCCTGCGCATCCGGGCACCTGGTGGGCTGTGGTGTTTACACGTTGGACTCAGGGATCCTCCCCTGGCCCTGCAGGGGCTGGGAGGGGCGGGTGGGCGAGTTCGTCCTGCTCCTGGACCACCCGCTAGTGTGGACTTTCCACGAAGCATAAAGTAGATTGTTCCCATGTTGGTAAGTGGACCTCTTTCTGTGAATCATCTTTGTGTAGAGTGAGAGAAAGCCATTGTCTGTCTGGGACGCCTCAGACTTCATTCTAAGGGAGGTTCAGGTTTCCACCCTGATAATCCTGCCGTCCGTCTTCCGTACATAGGCTAACTACATGTGCAGGTTACCTGGCATTACACAGGTTAGTACCATAGTCACAGCTGGGGAATAGAAGGTGCCCATCAGCATACTGCAGAAACAAACAGCAAGCAGTGGTAGCAAGTGATGAGGATTATACTCAAGTTTGTATTTCATTAACCGTTGCTACAGTTTTTTAAATACAAAAGTTAATTAAATACAGAACTTCGATATAATGGGAAAGATCAGTAGAGTCAGAGGAGTGGGTGTCTGTAGCGGCTGCAACCGCTCATTCTCCCTAGAAACATAAATAAGCAGGTAGAACTATCACCATGAGTTTTCAACAACCACAACAAAATCCTGAGAAAATAAAAGAAATATGGCTCACTGAACAGAATTGGTTGCTAGAAACTATCCCTAAAAACGTCCAGATTTGAGAATTATTAGAAAAAGACTGAAAATTCTTAAATGTGCTGAAAGAACTCAAAACACACACGTGGAAGTAAAGGAAATCAGGTAATGTGTGTGCACACTGAGAATATCCGTAAGAATCATCCAAAGGAGTAAAGTCTCAGACTGAAGTGTAGTTGGGAAATTCATCAGCAGAGGTCAGTGCAGAAGGAGCTGTGTGAAGGCCCAGAGGTAGGGCTATGGCACCATGCAATGGGAGGGGTGGAAGAAAAGCATGAAGAACAGTGAACGGAGCCCACGGGACCCCTGGGGCCCCATTCTAAGTGGGTCCCACGTGTGCATTATGATAGGGGTATCAGAATAAGAGAAAGGGGCACGAGAATATTTGGAAAAGTGCTGAAAATTTACCAAGTTTGATGTAATAAGTTCTAAATCTACAAATTCAAGAGGCTCAGTGCCTTCCTTGTAGAATCAATTCGGAGACCCACTCCAGAGAAAGTGTTGAAAGACAGAATCTTGCCATAATGAGAAGCAACGTGTAATGCACAAGACCTCTTCAGTAAGGTCAACAGCCAGTTTCTCCCAAAAAAGGGGGGGGGCGCGCCTGGGTGTCTGAGTTGGTTAAGTGTCCAACGGGTGATTTGGGCTCAGGTCATGATAGTAATGGGTCTTGGGATCGAGCCCCAGGGCAGGCTCCCTGCTTAGTGGGGAGTCCGTTTGAGATTCTCTCCCTCTGCCCCTGCCCCCACTTGTGGGAGTTCGCTTGCTCTCAAATCTTAAAAAAAAAAAACAAAAAAAAAAAAACTATAAGTCTATGGAATGACATACTTTGAGGAAAGAAAAAAGAGTTTTCAATGAAGAATTCTATATACAGAAAAATTGACTCTCAAAAAATGTGGGAGACGGGGCGCCTGGGCGGCTCAGTCAGCGAAGCGTCTGCCTTCGGCTCAGGTCAGGATCCCAGGGTGCTCAGCGGGAGCCTGCTTCTCCCTCTCCCTCTGCCTGCCGCCTCCCCCTGCTTGTGAGCTCTCTGTCAAATTAAAAAAAAAAATGCGGGAGGGTTTAAGATCTTCCCAGATAAAAGCTGAGGAGCTCATTGCCAATCAGCCTGGTGTGCGTGACATGCTCTCGGGAACCCTTCAGATGGAAATGAAAGGGCGCTAGGTAGTACCTGACGCTGCAAGAAGACAGGAAGCTCTCTGTTAAAGACAGCTGTGGGAAGTAGAAAAACCAGTGTTGTGGTTTTGTTTGCAACTCCAATTTTTATCCTATGGGACTATAAAGATATGAATAAAAAACAATCAGAAATTTACGTGTTGGTGGGTGCCTGGGTGGCTCAGTTGGTTAAGCGACTGCCTTCGGCTCAGGTCATGATCCTGGAGTCCCAGAATCGAGTCCCACATCGGGTTCCCCGCTCAGTGGGGAGTCTGCTTCTCCCTCTGACCCTCCCCCTCTCATGTGCTCTCTCTCTCATTCTCACTCTCTCAAATAAATAAATAAATAAAATCTTTAAAAAAAAAGAAAAATTTACGTGTTGGGCGCCTGGGTGGCTCAGTCGGTTAAGCAACTGCCTTCGGCTCAGGTCATGATCCCGGGGTCCTGGGATCCAGCCCCACATCAGGCTCCCTGCTCAGCGGGAAGCCTGCTTCTCCCTCTCCCACTCCCCCTGCTTGTGTTCCTGCTCTCACTGTGTCTCTGTCAAATAAATAAAATCTTAAAAAACAAAAAAACACCAACTTCTAGTTTTACGGACTGTCTGTTGTTTTCCTCCACCTTACCTCCATTCTGCTCTATTATTTCCTTTGTTCTGCAAGCTCTGGGTTGTTTGCTCTTCTTTTCCTAGTTCCTCAAGGTGCACAGTTTGGTATTAATCTGAGATCTTTCTTCCTTTATTATTAAGTAAACTCTACGCCCAATGTGGGGCTTGAACTCACAACCCTGAAATCAGGAGTCACATGTTCCATTGACTGAGCCAGTCGGGAACCCAGTTTCTTCTCTCTTAAATGTAGGCATTTAAAGTTATAAATTTATGGGCGCCTGGGTGGCTCAGTCGGTTAAGCGACTGCCTTCGGCTCAGGTCAGGATCCTGGAGTCCCGGGATCGAGTCCCACATCGGGCTCCCTGCTCGGGAGGGAGTCTGCTTCTCCCTCCGACCCTCTTCCCTCTCGTTCTATCTCTCATTCTCTCTCTCTCAAATAAATAAATAAAATCTTTAAAAAAAAATAGTTATAAATTTACATTTGAGCACAGCCTTTTCTGCATCCCATAAATTCTGTATCTTTGCTTTCACTTTCATAGATCTCAGAATTTTAAAAATTTCCCTTCTTTCTTCTCTGACCCATTGAGTGTGTTAACTTCCACATATTTTATGAATTTGCCTGTTTTCTCTGTTATTTGCCCTCTGATTTCTAGCTTCATTCCACTGTGGCTCAAAGACATTATTTTTCTAATTTTTAAAAATACATGAATACTTGTTTTGTGTCCTACCATCTGGTATGTCCTGGAGAATGTTCCATGTGCACTTGAGGAGAGCACATTCTACTGTTGTTCAGGCCGCGTCCACGTCTGTTGGGTTGAGCGAGTTTATGGTGCTGTTTGCGTCCTTGACTTCCTTGCTGAACTTCCGCTAGGAGTTCCATCCATTTTGGAAAGTGAGGAATGAAGAATGCACCCACCTCCGCACGCCTGGCTCTTCTTCAGTGCTGTCCCTTTGCTTCACGGGCTGTGGGACTCTGCGGTCGGGTGCACACACAACTTTATCCATCTTTTTATCTTTTTATCCCCATGAAAAATCTTATTTGTTCAAATAGAAACTGAGCGGCACGTGTCCGTACCTCTTGTCAGCAGCTTCTGGACTGCAGTCTATTCTGTGGTAGAAGCAGGGCCACCGCGGCTCTCGGGTCACGACGGACACTGAGCATCTTTCACCGTCCTTGTACCTCTGATCTGCTTGCGTCTTTGGAACCACATCGAGCCTCTCCTGGGCAGCACGTAGTGGGATTTTATTTTAATCCATTCTACCAATCTATGATTTTGGAGTTCATCCATTTTCATTTAAGGCAATTACCACTGAGACTTATTTCTATCACCTCGCTCTTGTTTTCTGTGTTATGCCTTCTTTGTCCTTCATTTCCTCCATGAACTTTTTAAAATTTTTTTACGGAAACTTTTCGAGTCCCTTCTCATTTCCCTTTGCATGGATCTTTTATATATTGTCACTGTGGCGTGGAGGTGAAATTTAACATCCTCAGTTCCTAACAGTGTACTTCAAATGGACACCAACTTCACACACTAACACATGTAAACGATCGTTTCAACAGCTCCAAGCTACCCCTTTACATCATCGTCATCACAAATTATACTTTGTACACTGTGGGCCCCCACACGTAAATTTCTTTTCTTTAAATATTTATTTATTTGAGAGAGCGAGAATGAGAGAGAGAGTACACGAGAGGGAAGAGGGTCAGAGGGAGAAGCAGACTCCCTGCCGAGCAGGGAGCCCGATGCGGGGCTCGATCCCAGGACCCTGGGACCATGACCTGAGCCGAAGGCAGACGCCCAACGGCTGAGCCGCCCAGGTGCCCCTGAAAGTTGGTTCTTTGAAAATATCAACAAAATCGATAAATCTTTAAAGTGACAACAAAAGGCAGGAAGGCAAATAACTAAAATCAGAAATGTAAGCAGGGGCATTACTAGTAGCCTTATAGAAGTGAAAAGGATTAGAAGAAACTTACAAAAAATTGTACAACAAATTTGATAATCTTTTTAAAATGGACAAATTACCAGAAATACAGGAATTACCTAAATTAGCTCAAGAGATGATATAGGAAATTTCAAAAGACTTAGAACAAACAGATTGAAACAATAGTTTAAGAAAAAAAAAGAAAAGCCAGGGACCATATGGCTTCACTGGTGAGTTTTACCAAACATTTTAAGAGTTGGGGCACCCAGCTGCCTCAGTCAGAGTGTGCAACTCTTGATCTCGGGATTGTGATTTTAAGCCCCACTTTGGGTGTAGAGATTACTTTAAAAATATTTTTAAAAACAATTTTTTAGGGGAGCATCGGGCTCCCTGCTCGGCGGGAGGCCTGCTTCTCCCTCTCCCACTCCCCCTGCTTGTGTTCCCTCTCTCGCTGTGTCTCTCTCTGTCAAATAAATAAATAACATCTTAAAAACAAAACACAATTTTTTAGAGAGTTAACACCAATCCTTCTCAAACTTTTCCAGAAAATGGAGAGGAGGGAACACTCTAATCCATTCTGTGAGGCCAATATTATTACCTTGATATCAAAACCAGATACACTTCAATAAAAAGACTACAAACCCATATTCCTTATGCATAATGATGCAAAAATCTTAGCAAGATACCTATCAAACCCAACAATATATTTAAAAGATTTTACACCAGGATCAAATGGAATCTATCTCAGGATAAATGCCAGGGTGGCCCCATGTAAGGGAGTCAAAGGGGCGAGCTGTTGCTACAAACAACTTGCACGGACCTTAGGGACATTGTGCTGAATGAGGGAAGGCAGGCTCTTAGAGGAAAAAGGAACAATCAAGTAGTACACGACGTTGATAGAACAAAGTGGGAAAAATACATGATCACTGCAATTGGTTTGACAAAAGCCAACACCCTTTCATGGTAGAAACACTCAGGAAACTATGAGTAGAAGGGAACTTCTTCAACATGATAAAGGACATTTATGAAGAACCCACAGCCAACATCATATTCAATAGTGAAAGACAAATCTTTTCCTCTAAGACCAGGAATAAGACCAGGATACCCGCTTTCACTGCTGCTAGAAATAAAAGGCATTTGAATTGGAGAGAAAGAAGTAGCACTATCTCTATTCATACATGATATGACCCTGTATATAGAAAATCCCAAAGGGTTCACAAGAACCCTACTAGAGCTAATAAATTCAGGAAAGCTGCAAGGCACTAGATCAGCAATCAAAATGTTATATTCCTATGCACCTGCAATGAACAGTCGAAAAGGAAGTTCAGAAAGCACTTCCATTTAAATTACATGTGGAACTGGGGCACCTGGCTGGTTTAGTCAGCAGAGCATGTGACTCTTGATCTTAGGGTCATGAGTTCGAGCCCCACATTGGGTGCAGACTTTACCTTAAAAAAAAAAAAGAACATCTATCTAACAGAATAAATAGGGATAAATTTGACGAAGGAAGTGATGTACACTGAAAACCCCAAAACACTGCTAAAAGAAATTAAGACCTAAATAAGTGGAAAAATACCTTTTGTTCATGGATAGGGATGCTTAATTTTAAGATGTCAACACTAGACAAAGTGATCTACAGATTCAGTGCAATCCCTATTAAAATTCCAGCAGTCTTTTTCACTGAAATGGAAAAGTCAATCCTCAAATGCATATGGAATTGCAAGGAGCCCCAAATAGCCAAAATATTCTTGAAAAGGAACAAAGTTAGAGGGCACACATTGTCCAATTTAAAAACTTACTACAAGGCGCAGTATGCAGGCCAGTGTGGTGCTGGCAGAAGGACAGACACACAGACCCATGTCCGTGAAGGGAGAGTCCAGGAATCAACACATACCTATATGGCCAATTGATTTTTTGCAAGGGCGGGAGGTTTACTCAGCGGGGACAAGAACGATGTCTTCAACAACTGGTGATGGGAAAACTGGATTTTGAAATGCAAAGCATAAAGTTGGACTCCTACTTCATACCACATACAAAAAATTAACTAAAAATTAATCAGTGACCCAAAGAGCTAAAAACCATAAAACTCCTAGGAACAACACAGGGGCGTCTCCAGCGCACGAGAGGATTCTGAGATGAGACGGCAGCAACATGACCACCAAACAAGTTGGACTTAATCAAAAACTTCTGTGCATCAAAGGACACCGTCAACAGTGGAAAAAAAAAAAACACCCACAGAATGGGAGGAAGTATTTGTAAACTACATATCTGATAAAGGATTTGTGTACATGTCTTTAAAAATTTCTAAAACTCAACAACAAAAAATGAACACATGAGGACAAATAAAAGCACCTCTTAGGACACCAAAGGGCACATCATGTAGTGTGTGTAACTGAGCGCACGCACCGGTGCGCCCCTGACTTGGGGTGCGGCACGGCCAGAGCCCGGAGGACGGGGACCTCTGTGGGGCTCCTGCCTCCTAGCCCCAGCTTTGATGGCTACAAGGGGCGGAGCAGGTGGCAGTGAGCGACTGCGCCTGGCTCCCCAAACCTGTGGGCTTTGGAGGGGGACTTGAGACCCAGCCTTGGCCCCTAAAGTTGGCCCCCCAGGAAGTTGGGAGGGGCGTTTCTGGACCCCCAGACGTACCTGCATGCTCAGGGCCACCGGCTGTGGCAGGACAGTCAGAGGGCATCAGGATGCACCTGTCTGGGCCTTCCCGGTGCTGCCCAGGCACGGAGGAGCTGCCTGGAGGGTGTGGAGGGGAGAGCACGGCAGGTCTGCAGTTGGGGTGTTAGGGTCGGGCGCCTGGGCTAAGAGGGGGGGATGCGGGTAGGACCAGCCTGAGGAGAAGCTGCCACCCAGGGCGAAGGAGCTGCGAGTCCTTGCGTCTCGTCCTGGCCTCTACCCTGCAGGGCCGCTCTCTACTCAACACAGGACAGACAGCCCTGGGTGTGGGCCCCAGGACACAGGAACAGGGACATGGGGGCACGGGAGCCTGGGGACACAGAGACGGGGTGGGGGGCAGGGGCGGGGGGACC